ATGATTAATGACATGAGAAGCTAGTCAAAAAATCACATTTTTGTACTTTTTGAAAAAACCAAAGATTAGATCAAAATGGCATGTATGTCATCTCATAGAATAAAATACGACCATAACAAAAGTTTAAAGAAAACACTTAAGCCATTTTCGAGCAAATTTTGTTCTTATTATCTTTTGATGTTGCATATACTGCACGCTATATTGTGCGAAAACCATCAAAAGTTTCAGAACAATGTACATGACCTCTATCTTTAATTTTGTAGTTGTAGGAAGACACCAAAAATGCAAACTTTAAAAATTTTCGATAATTCATTGTAAACCCTGAAAATTAGACCTATGGCACTTTTGTAAGTGTATTTAATTCCATACTCACAAGAAATTGAAAGAAAAAAATTGGAGTCATTTTTATAAAATTTTGGAAATGTCCCAGGAGCTTCATGTAGAGTGCATCCAAATTTTAAAGAATGTTTTTCAAAATCTCAAAGCTTTGACTCGTGCCAGATGGACAGGGGTTTCTTCTATTTGGAAAAAATCCTACTTCTGGTTTAGTCACTACTGGTGTTTTGAAAATAACCACTTATTCGGTGGGACCCTAAAACGTGTATTTCCGTTGAAATCTCGAAATTGATTTTCCGCAGCATTACATAACTTTCTCTATACTACGAGAAAGTAACTAGTTGTGCTTAAAGACGTCACAGATTTCTCGCACTACTTAGTTTTCTAATTTTGGTCTCGGAGGGCTTTACGATCTAGCTCCAACCTCTTTGCCAGCTGCCACTTATCGCCGCCCAAAATACATTTTTTGAGTTTTCGCTATTTTACGGCTTCCTATTGGCAGATTCTAAATATTGCATTTAGGATATTAAAGGAGAGTAAACCCTCGTCCTATATGGATATTATCGTTGAAAAATGTAGAACAGATTTTATGAAAAAATCAATTAAGCTCAAGTGAAAATGCAAAATTTGACGCTCTTTTTCATAGGAATCTTTTGAGTTTTCGAAAAACTTCATGGAAGTCATTTGAAGCTCCTTCACTCACAAATGCAATAATGTGTACAAAACGCAGGTGCATATTAACGGCGACAGAGATATTTAAAAAAATACATTTGTAATATTTTGAAAAAAACAACAATAAAAGAATACAGCAGAATTAATTTTATGTCATCTTAAAGAGTGCAATTAGCACTAGTGATACAAAAAAATGAGGAAAAAATTTAAAGCCATTTTTGAGAAAGTTGCGTTTGAGCGTTTCTGAAAATGCAGAAATCTGACCTTTTTTTTAACAGAATATTTTTGAGATTTCGAGAAATGTTATATGACATTATTTAAAGCACATGCACTCTTTAATGCAATAACCATAAGAAATCTCCGTTAATGTAAATGTTAAGGGTGTGAGAGGCAAGTCGAAAAAATTACATCGTACTTTGTAAAAAACAAACAATAGAATAGATCAAAATGGCGTTTGTCATCTAATTCAGCACATTTGACACTATCCCTTAAAAAAGTTTAAAGACAAAATTTGGAGCCGTTTTGAGAAAATGTTGTTTTTGTTATGTTTAAAATAGCACAAATTGCACGCAGTATTGAGGAAAACTACTAAAAGTTTCGAATAAATGTGCATGACCAAAATGAAAGAACTAATTATGGACAACAAATTTCATTTGAAGGAAAAATGTCTTTCTTCAATTTTGTAGTTGTTTTAAGACGCCAAAAAATGCAATTTTTACAATATTCGAAAATTTTGAGTAAACCCTGAAAATCAGACTAAGGCACTATGTAGTGTAGTGTATACTTTTATGTAGTGAAGTTTATGAAGTGTATTTTATTATATTCTTACAAGAGATACAGAAAAAGTAGAACCATTTTTGAGAAAATTATGAAAATGTTCGAAGAGATCGTGTAAAGTGTTCCCAAAGATTGATGAATATTTTTCAAAACCGCAAAGCTTCGACTCAGGCCAAATCGACGGGGGTTAATTCAGTTTGGAAAAATACGTATAGTTTAGGCGCTAGTGTTGTTCACAATCCCCAGAAAGACGGACAAACGGACGGACGATTTACCGTCAATCGATTTTTCGATATCAAGGACCCACAAAACATGGGTTCTGGTTACTTCACGTGTTAGAGAATTTTGTTTTTTAAATTTAGGAACTGGATTTATCTACTTTTTCGTTACCACGGTTCAAAGGTGTGTTTTTCTGCGTAAAATTCGCCGTTTTTTCGTGCAGCATTACATAACTTTCTCTATACTCATTACTCCGTATACGAGAGTAATACTTACGTATATGAAAAAGTAAAAATTGAATATATAAATTTTTGCCTTAAAAAACCTTTTCTACAGAGGTGAAAATACAATTATGTGACTAGAGTTATTGAATAAGCCAAAATGTATTTGCGACTGTAGAGATTGAATTTGAGTGTCATTTTGCGTGATGCAAATGAGTTCTTTTATGAGGTGGTTTTCATGGCCGTCTTTTCCAAAGTTTTTTTAACTATCGAATGAACATTTTCAACAGAATTCATGTTAGGGCTATTTTCAGCCTATTGGAACTTAGACTTATCAATGTCTTGATGTTTTTCTACTTTCTTTCCAGTTGTGGTAGGGAGCGTAGTCAATATTTTCTTCCAAATAACTCATTTATGAGAGAGAACCTTTGGTTATTTAGAGCCTCTAAGTATTGGTCATGCCTCATTGTACCATTTACTGTGTGTACATTTCCAATAACATTAAGAAACATTACATTTCAAACAGTTACTTTTCTCAAGACTCATTATAATCTGTAAAGTCAGAGAAAAAAAGATTTAGTATAATAATTTGGCCACTTTTGTAAAACATCAGCTCTTTAAAAGTCATGTAAATTGTTTTTTGAAAAGCGAATAATTTTTTAATAATCTGTGCTTCAAATTAATGTAATTTATAAAAAAATCTCAAAAGCCGCTCCAATTTTGTTTTCAAATTTTTCCTAGGATGGAATGAGCAACGCTTAAAACATGGTACAGATATCATTTTCGTTTATAGCTGTAGTAACGTTTTAGAAAGAATGCCTCAAAGTACGTTGTGTCGTTACACAACTAGTTTAAAAATGAGTAATTTACCGTTATCGAATTTATGAATAGTTAATTTTACCATTATCGAATTTCACGCGCTCCAATTGCCAGTCTTGACAATGTCACATTGGTGGGTTCGTCCGGTACACCAATTTACGTTCTGTGCAGCACCGGTTGGTGTCACGAAACAAGTGACCATAACACAGGCACTTCGTTTGAAAAGCCACCAGTTGACCAAGGTGATCATTTTGGTATTTAAAATTCCCGCCAATATTGTGACGCAAACTGGGGCCTGAAGGTCATTTGCTGAAGTCGGATGCGTCGCGGAAGTTTGAAATTCTGAGAATTCCTTCTTATTGTTACATGTTATAGCTGTGTGAAATGCAGTTTTTGTTGTCGCATTTGTATTGATATAATTAACTTTAATAGAATGAATTTTCGCATCTATGTTCTACGATTTGTAATGAGTTCTAAATATGATGACTAATATGTGTTAATATGGACAGAAACTGCAGTATTATTATATTACGTAACCGTTACTAAGTGAGAAAAAGTACGTGCTGTTAGGGCACCACTGGTTTTACTTTCTTTCCCTTACTTCGTAAGGATGAAAAGTATTCTAAGAGAAAATAAGAAAGAGCTGAATATTCGACAGAAAAACTCATATTGCAAGGTTCTTGGGACAACAGTCAACGCTCGGGACCAAACCGTTCTTTTTTTTCTCAATTTTCTCCAATATTGCTATTCCCCAATAGATTTAAAGGAACTCAATGTTCTCTGAGTTTGAAATGGATATTTTTATTTTTTTGGGTGCCTTATATGAAGCATCAACGACATTTTCAAAATTTTCTGGAAAATGGCTCCAAAGTTTTTTATTAAAATTTGTCCTCAAAATGCGTAAAGGATGCTTACGAAAATGGTGAAAATTTCATTTTCGTTAAAATACCTAATTGTTTGAAAATCGCAAATTTCAACTTCTTTCGACGTCTTCCTACAACCACAACATTAAAGAAAGATATTTGTTTCCTGAATGTTCTGTTCTTTAAAGGCAGATCGTGAAGTAAGTTCATGTAAAATTTTGGAAATTAAAGGTTATTTTGCGTAATTTTGCATGAAATAATGGCAATTTTATTTTTTAATAAATTTTTGTCCTTAAAAACATCTTAAAATTTGTTCTTTAAATTTTCTCCTCATATGTTTCAAAGAACTGTAAAAAATGATGCCAGTTTCATTTCCGTGGACATTCGGAGAAGAAAAGAAGATGAAGAAGAAGAAAAAGAGAAAGAAAAGCAAGAAGAAGGAGAAGAAGAAGAAGAAGAAGAAGGAGAAAAAGAAGGAGAAGACAGAAAAAGAAGACATTTTTCTATATGGATACGACAAAGAGTACTTAAAAGTGGTTTTGGTCTCACTTCCATTGAACTCTCTGAATTTTCGGCATTTAACAAATAAATAATAGGATAGACCTTTAATTTTGAAGAGTAAGGAATTGCTGAAGAATTGAAAATTTTAAACAATGTATAAAATTCCCCGGCGGGTCACTACAAACCAGATAATGATATATTTTCTGTTGGACCTTAAAATATGTTATATGGAAAAACAGTAAGTGTGTGTTTATAAGTTAATTATCTAGAACTCAACTTAGGCTAAGTTATACATTTAGAAAATAAGACGAATTGTGTTATTTCATTAGACCTGAATATGGGGGCGCAAAAACTCTCGAAACGTCATTGAAGACTGGGAAAACATAAACGTAAGATTAAATTTGAATTGTTATGAAATAAAATAATTGAAATATTGTCTGCTGTCTAAATTTTTAAAGCGACTTGTTCTTGAGAGAAATACTATAAAAAGACAGTATAAATTACATAGGCCATTTTTACCTGGGCCCGCCCGCAATGCGGGCCTCGCGGGCTCGAACGTTAAGCAATACAAAAAGCATAAACTAATTCTCACCTTATAACGGAAACTTTTTCCACACGCAGTGCACTGATATGGCATTGCACCAGTATGAATTCTTCTATGAACAAGGTATGATACACGTTGTCTGAAACATTTCCCTAAAAATCACAAGACAATTAACTTTAGTTTCACATTTGGAAGTTGTTAAATTTGTGCATTTTGTATATAGTGTTTTTCAATATAATTATTTTCTTTGGTCAGCGGTTGAAATACACTTGGTCACCCGCGTAGAACCAGAAAACAGACGGTCAGAACCGATCTTGAGGTTATTTATACGAGTATATGTGGAGAACATAAATAACATATACATGCCAAATGGTTTTTAAGGTGAATATTCGCATAAAATGATTTTGGTAATAATGCGTTTGACAGACTCAAAGATGATTTATGTTAACGCGAGAGCCGAATTCCCGAGCCTCGTTCTCAACTTTTGCTTCTGAACGTAAATGTAGCTTCTCTATGCGCACGAACTCTCCTTTTGCTTCTAATGATAAGATCAAACATTTTCACGAGTTGTTATTTTGTTAGCATTGCAACAAATTCATACTTGCAATTCGTGTACCGATCCAAATAAGTTTTCTGTAACTCAGAAACAAAAATGACTATTTTTCAAATATTGCTAATCTTGCGATTTTTAAAATTTATTTTTAAATTTTTTAAATTATTTATGTTAAACTTTTACTCATCTTTCAACTATTTATACTAGTTAAAATGCCGGGCAGGGATTCACGAACTCAAGAAAACGTGCGCAGATAATTCCCCCCCCCCTACGTCACATACAGTTTTTTTGACTGAATAAATCTAAACTTGGACACGCGTAGCGAAACGCCATGCGTCGACCGTGCCATGGTGTAAGATATCTTACACCGTGACCGTGCACTCTGTGGCCGCGCCGCGAATGACTCATTCTCGGAATCGACAGCGCGCCTGAACGAATAGGATCACAAACTGCATTCCTACCTAGTCAGCTTAGACAAGACAATTAAAATAGTATATAGATTCCAAATATCAAAAATTAAATTGTTTAAATTCATTATTTAATTTAATAAATTATTTTTTGGAAGTAATTATCATTTTCTAATGTTATAGTTTCCTCTACTTACACTTAAGTACTAATAAATCATTAGGAAACTGATATTTAATGAATTTCTCTTTGTGCAAGCATTTTTCTCTAGAACTGTGTTACACACAAGGTATAACACGAAGCGTTTCCATAGAATGAAAAAAAAACAACATTATTTTGCTACTTTTATTTTTCTTGGATATGTGAACTTTGTAGGTAATACCGGTGCCGAGTTTCGAACTGAGAGCTAGGAGAGGAGTAATCTTTAATAAACTGAACCAAGTACTGATTTTCTGGATTAAAGTTCACTGACCCTCTCTGAATGACCTGCCGCCAGTATCTAACATGTACAACGTAACACATAAAATGAGAACATAAATGTCATCATGTCATAAAATCATGTACCTAAAAATAAACCAATAATTTAGAACATCGCATGTAGAATTAATATTGTAGATACGATCTTGAATTAATATCTACATACAACTAAAAAAATTCGTAGAAATAAAAAATCCAATATTATTTACCACTCTTGCTAATAATAACATACTACATATATGTTATTTTACAATTTATTGCGAGATGACATTAAACAAGTAAAACCAATGCACAAGTTTAAAGATTAAGTACATTTTTCTCGCTACATAAGTGTATCTATACAATTACGGGCTATACTTACCACCAAAAGAAAAATAATATTTATTTTAACAATGAGTATGAGTATAGTAAAAGTGTAGAGAAGACATTCTGGAGCTCAAGACAGTGTGCGCAAACGTCACATACCGTTTTATTGTTCTTTTATGAATCAAATGAAGATATCCGAATTTTGTGTCTTGACATTACTAAAAAGTATATTTTTTAATTTTTCTGAGCAGCTGTTAGAACTGATTCTGGCTTCACTCTTCCCCGTTTAAGAGACATAAATGATTGATATTTATTGATCTGCACCATGCCCATTGCTTTTAGATATTGTTCATTGAATGGTTTGTCTCTCCACGATTTCTTTAACAGTTTTTGTGGCTCACATTTCATGTTAGGTAGCATCAGAAGTTCAGAGTCTGAGTTATTCTGCGTGTCTTGCAAAGTTTTCTTTGCAATGCTTCTTGCTACACTGCTTCTGTTTCCCATTCTTCGGTCAGATTTCATGACCTGCCTCATCAGAGAATCATCTTGACTAACTGGAAACTTTACTATCCTAATGCATTGTGACAGATGTCTTCAATTTGTCTGAGGCCTCTTTCTTCTTCCTTATGTGACACATAAAGTCTATGTACATCAGCTCGAGGGTGAGTGACATGATGCATAGTTAGCAGTTTTCTGCTTTTTCCAATCCATGATTCTAATTTCTTGCTCAGTCCAGTCCACGAATCCGAAACTGTACTCAAATACAAGCACCGCCAAACTTCCAATTGCAGATATTTTATTCCTGGGATTCAAGGCGGAGTGCCTCTCACTCTTCTGTAATACTCCCTACTAATTCTGTCTTTCATCGTGTCTTGCGAGATGGTTTCGCATTCATCAATGCCCAGATATTTGAACAGTTTTACCTGGCTCAAGATCATGGATCACAATGTAAATATCAACTTCAATGCTCTCTGACGTTGTCATTTGCTTGTCTTTAAATTAACTTTTGCACACTTGCAAAGATCAAACTTCATACAGATGTCATTGATAAAGTCATTCACGACAGACAGCACTTGGAAGAGAATCGCTTCATTCTTAGCAAATACTTTAAGATCATCCATGTAAAACAAATGTGATACTGATCTTTCATCACCAAGGAGCTTGTAACAAGTCAGCTGCGATAACTGTCTAGATAGTGGGGTCAAACTAATGCAAAACAGCAGAGAATATAATAAATCTTCTTGAAAAAAACAGTTGATCTGAATACTTCTTGTTTCTACTGCTTCCTTTCCGCTGTATATTAGTAACCTGGCACTACATGATTTCATACTCGCCTTGAAAAACTCAATAAGTCTAGGATGAAATCGATAGATATCCAGGGTCTACAAAATCCAATCGTGTGGTACACTGTCAAGGGCCTTTTGGTAGTCAATCCAAGACATGCTTAAATTACGCTTTCGTTTCTTTACATTATTCAAGATAACTTTATTTAGTAGAAAGATTTCCTTGCAACCATAAAAACCATTATGACATCCTTTTTGTTCAACTAGCAACAGTTGCTTCCTCTGTAGGTGTCTGAACATTTTGTTCCTTTGCGTTTTCTTAAATTTTATTAACAGCTTTTGCTAGATGAGAATGTATTGCAGTTAATTTCTTAATCCAATAATTCTGGATCTTATCAATCCCGGGAGATTGCCAGTTTCTCATGTTCTTAATTGCTTGGAAGACGTTCTCTTCCGAGAATTTGTGAACAAGTTCCACTGTTTTCACAAGTTCATCGACAGTATCAACTTCAGATTGAAGCGTCTTTGTTGTAGGATTCATTTTATTCATTAATTAAGTGACAATACTAGCTTGGTATACTAAATTGAGTTCATTAAGGTAAGCCTAATTCTTTCGTATTCCGAAAGTCTTCATGCAGATCGTTGCGTATATTTTGCAAATGAACATTCCCTCCTAAGATATGACGTAATATTCCGAGAAAACACACCTATATAACGCAGAAATTTAGAATGCAGATAAAGATTGTACGAATAAGCAAATGTCACCACGTGATTCCTGCAAGGCTCTCTTATCCAGCTTGCATCTGCGGCACAGCGTTGTCTATTCTTTCACAAATATGTAGTTTTCGTCAAAATTGACTTACTTAAGGGTGGAACCATGTTTTTTTTCATGCAATCCAAATATTTATAATAATTACTATACACGTCGTAGGAATCATATTCATTGGTTATCAGTGTCAACTTGCTACCTATCGAAAATTCGCCTAACGCATGAATGTCACTTTACAATTGACGATATTACAAATGACAATAAAAATAAACTTCACACACAAGTGTAAGTGCCATTAAAACATTTTTTGCTGCATAACTGATTATAAACAATGACTAAAAATAAAAAAAAATAGTTTTTTAAAGAGTTAATATTTGCTCGGCATATTTCTAAAATACTAAATATGCCCCAACAAGTATTGTTCTTCCGCTTCTGTGTCAAAGACCATCTCGACGAGGTTTTTTGTCCAGTCTGTTTTCCTGATCCATTGAGCAAAGGGTGAGATGACCCCTTGTTTTGCTTTTAGACATAAATGTAGCTTCACGATGTTTTGATGGGTTTCCCTTTCGCTAGTTGTGTAAGAGCAGAGCTGAGGGTATGAGTAGCCATTTTGTTAGTAATGCCAAAAACATCAAATCTGAAGTTCGCTTACTGATGAAAATAAGTTTTCTTTTGCTCAGGGGCGAAAATAGTTTTCAAATGTAGCCTACATACTTTATTTGGTATCATTCAATTATATAACATAGTAAAACGTGAGGTAGAGATTCTGGAGATCAAGAAGTGGTGCCTGATCTTCTCTCCATACGTCATACAGTTTTGAATGTTTTTCTGGCGAAAATAAATTACATCAAACCGCAAATATGGCTGAAAGACAGCACCAGAAGTTTTTCTCAAGCTAAGGATGCTTTGAAGTCTGTTCAACTTTAAAGTTTTAAGTACTTATGTTGTCGTCCACATTAATAAATATTTTCCTTAAAATTAAAAAAAAACTACCGAAAAGTTTGTAGAAGACAATAATACAGTTTCAAAGAACAGTATGGTTCACTATTCTTAATTGTAGAAGCGATACTTTATATATTGCCTTTCATCAAAAACACCTTCATATTTTCACGTTTCCTGATATTTTTTGATTTAATAGTTAAATCTAAGGTATTCGAATCTAAGACATAAATGAAATAAAAGCTCAACAAATCTTTCATGTGTGTCTAGGGGTGGTGGAGGGCTCATGCAGTTCCCACCGCTTATGCGCAGTCTAGAACCTCGGCTATTCCATGTGGAATTTGTGGACACAGCGAACGCTCGAGAGGTTTTCTCGAGTTTCTCGCGAATCCTCTTCTAATTTTCCGTTTCCCAGCCGTCAATATGAACATCATCATTATTGCACACCGGGACAGTTTAGCACAGAGTCAGTATTGCCGCTGACTCTGCAATGACTCTGACCGGGATGTCCTAGGTTCGAGTCCCGATGGTTGAGAATTGTCGACACTAGTTACATACATAGGTAGCATTCAGTCCCTGCCTGGAGGAAAATTCTAGCGGCCGGTTGCTCTGGTCGATAGTTTTCCATGGTTTCTGCGATCACTACCAGGCGGATGCAAGAGAAGTACCCTAACAAACGGGCCACGGAACGCGCGCGAACTTTCCTTCCTCTTCTTTGTTTTCTCTTGTCCCTTTACTCTCACATCAACAGGCACACATACACACACTTACATGCAATACGCTATCACATATTTAGGGAGACTAGTCGGGAGCTTAGAGCTCGGATTCCCCTTAAACCGACGTTTGGCGCCGGGTTTCATCATCTAACATAGGGAGGAACACCAACACCTCCCGCGATAAAACACCAAGCTACCAGAACTGACGACCACAGAAGTAGACGTGCGCGGAAGCTATCTATCATTACCACTATCATCTACTCATTTCATTATCAATCATTGGACTTAATGAATTTATAAATTGAAGGTAGCCTTAACTCTAATGAACCAATGAATAAATACACGAGTCTTTAATATCTAGTGCGATGCCTTACAACTGATGACGGAATTAATTGTAATTTCTTCATTCATTTGATACTTAACTTACCACACGTTTCGCAAGCAAATGGTTTTTCTCCAGTATGTATTCTTTGATGATTTTGGAGAGTTGACAACTCCTTAAAAGCACGATCACACTCTGTGCACACGTGAGGCTTCTCATCGCTGTGGTACAGCAAGTGCTTGTGGTACGATTGTTGGAAAGTGAATGTTTTGTTGCATGTTGGACAACTATACGGCATTTCACCTGAAAACAAACAAAATTAATATAAGAGGAATTGGAGAAAAAACAAACGAAATATTATATGCATATGAAATGTTCAACAAAATATTTATTAAACACTAGCTGAAGTAAATTAGCGTTGTCCGGATGTTTATTTATCTGATCTGACCCTCGGAACCGTTCTTTCACCAGAACTCTCACCCATGCTCCTGCTATCACCGCTCCAGCATTCGGCTCTTACTAGGCCCCGCCCGCCCCCCGTTGCCACCCCCCCGCTTTTGCTAGCCTAGCCCCACCGGCGGTTCGCCCGTCCGCCCCACTCCATCCCGTCTCGTCCCGTCTCGCATCACCAGGTTCCAGTCCGATCGAGCAATCTGCAATGTTCAAATGTATTGCAGATTGCATCGATCCAAGAAATACACAAAACTTATTGAATCCGTAGAAGTGGAATTACATCACCAATGAAGCCATAAGAGGAAGTACTGCTAAGAACTGCCTTCTTCACCATATTGAAGAAAAACAGTTAAGTGGCAAAGTCATATCAGTAGAATGGGAGAAGAAAGAATATCAAAAATTATGTTTCTTTAACCCCGAGTTAAACGGAGAAAAAAGGGATCACGATGGTATTAAGGAAATGAGGGGGGAGAGTGACAGAGGAATCTGAATCAGAAAGATTGCCGGGATATGACTCGACGGTTGCTGATAAACGAAGTGTGTCAGATGTCTGAGGATCCCTGATTGATGATGATGATGTACAAAAATCAATTTTATCTCCAGGGGTGAGTGTATCCGCCCCGTTCGCTATCCCTACCTGCCCTGCCTTGCCCGTGGCCTTCTCTGCCTCACTTCACACTCCCCATTCCACTTCTCCCTGCGCCCCCTTCCTAGGAGACCGACATTCCGACGATTCCCCACCCAGCTTGGACACCCACTCGTTCACCCACTCGGACCCGAGTTTCTCGGCGGCACTCACGTCGTTTGCTTCAAGGTGGAGGCAGTGAGTTCGCCACCGACCTTTGGACGGGGTTAGGCGTGGGGACCATTAGCCGGCAACATCTGTGCAGCTGGCAGCGGATCTCAAACCCACATATAAAAGTCCAGACGAGGAGCATGAACCGCCCTGTCAGGGTTGCCGAGTTTCCAGCGGAACTCACGTCGATAGCTTCAAGGTAGAGGCAGTGAGGAAACGGGTTGAGGGACCCTGGACCGCCCGGTTCTTAGACCGGGTGGCCCCCAGTGGAGTACTTGGCTTCGTCGGAGCAGTGGCCTTATACTCTGAGCATAGAGGAGGGTCGTGTCTCGGGGCATTATTTCGTCATCGGTACTGGTCTGAAAAGCCTGTAGCTCTGAGCTGGTAGGGCGGCCCGACCCAGGCATCGAATGGGGACGTTCGCGAGAGAGATTACTGCGAGGAATGAGGATCAAGATATAATTGTCTAGGTGCTATGTCAAAGTGTGAAGTAGTAGCCCACACTGGAAACACACTCCATGCAGCCGTTTTCCCGTTCCACTTTCTTGGACTACGCCCCGCGCAGCTCTTTCTTGCTCCGCACCGGCCTATACTACACATTCGCTACCATCATCGTTGCTTCAGGCAACTGCAAATATTGAATGGATTGTTGCTTATTCCCAGAAAAATTACGGGAAACTACTGGTGCTACAGAATAGCACAGACTTTATCGCACTAGTTAGTTTTCTAATCTTTTAGTGTAGACTATACATCTTTCCAGCTGCTACTTATCGGCCCCAAAACCTTTTTTTCCACATTTTCTCAATTTTTTGATCCCATTAAAGTAGAATTGAAATATATCTGTAGCACTATTACAGAAGAATACATCATATATCTTTATGCAAATTTTCATTCGAAAAGACGCTCTTAAAAAATTGCTGTTTATACGAGACTGAAAATGCGCAATTATGAGTATATTTACGCAGAAAAGTCTTGAGTTTTCGAGAAACTTCATAAGAAATCATTCGAAACATTTGTGTTTACAAATGCAATAATGTATTGAAAGTGTCCGTTAATGTTTATAATAACGACGTGAGAGATATTTCAAAAAATGCTTTTGAATATTTTCCGAAAAATTAAAAGAATGTATCGAAATGAGGTATATGTTTTTCAATTCAGTGTATTTAGTATTATGCGTACAGTTAAAAAAGTTGAAGTAGTTCGTAAAAAATGTCGTTTGAGCATGCGTGATTATGCGCAACTTTAAGATCATTATCACTGATAAATCTTGTGTTTTTGAGAAACTTCGTAGTAACTCATTCGAAGCACTTGTACTCACAGATTAAACAATGTATAAAAAATGAACACATGTTAATGTTATTACACATTAACATAAAAATATTCATTGATCTTCATACAAATCATACGAAGTTCATTGTACTCACGAAATCACAGCAAGCTTCGAACAGCGACAGCCAATGCATCACATTCCCGATATAAAATGCATCACATTTACTTCCCCGAAATAAAAATTAAATTACATTTTGTCTAAATACGTATAATTTCTGTCTAAACGTACTACTCAGCATCGAACCGCATTGCATATGTCATAATGTTCTATCTACTTCGACTTTGAAATCACTTTGAAATCACTTTGATACCACGCTCCTTATGCATTCACAAATACATTTTATAAAGTTTATTGAAAACTTACTGTCGTAAATATTTAATACTAGTTAAATCCTCCGTTTTCCCTTATTTTGATTACTGTGGCAGCGTGTTCGTATAACATCACTTCCTACCACAGAGAGCACAAACCACGTTTATTCGATTCATGGACAGTTTAAAAAATTGATTGCAAGACAGATACGTTTAAAACTAATGAAATATTTAAGGTTAAATGATAATTTTGTCAAATCCTTCTTTTCAAATTGCTGATGTCAAGGGAGCCTTTCCACCAGGGCTCATTTTAGATCCCTAATGTCTGTAAACCGGCTTCCTAATCAGTCGATTGAAGTGTACATCGGAATGGTCACTTGTTTGCATTTTCAGAAGTAAACGTAGATTTCTCATCCTCTTTTGAGGTTAAATTTGATAGTTACGAAACTAGAAACTATTCCGTCCTTAACTCTTGTGTTGCAATATGGCGTTGTGTGATCAATTTGCTTTAAAATTGATTATTATAATAATTTAAAATATTATTACACTGAAGTGGTACAGCCTTGCGTATTGGAATAAAGAGATCTGAATACTGTGATCTGGTCGGCGATGACTACATAAGACGTCCAGAGTCTGGCACAGTTTTTAAATTGATTACTACTGCTGCAATGGCAAGTTATCACTATATGAGTTAGAACGTGGTGTTATAGTCGGCGCAAGAGGGATGGGGCATAGCATCTCCGAGGTTGCTATGAAATTTGGATTTTCCTGTAGGGCCGTTTGACGAGTGTACCGTGAATATCGGGAATCCGGTATAACATCAAACTTCCAGCATCACTGCGGACGCTAAAAGGTCGTGCAAGAACGGGACCGACGACGACTGAGGAGAATCATTACACGTGGCAGAAGTGCAACCCTTCTGCCAACTGCTGCAGATTTCAATGCTGGGCCATCAATAAGTGTCAGTGTGCATACCATTCAACGAGACATTATCGATATTGGATTTCGGATACATATCGATAATGTATAACCCTTGAAGATAGCACGACACAAAGCTTTACGCCTCGCCTGGGACCGTCAACACCGTCATCGAACTATTGACGACTGGAAACACGTAGGCTGGTCTGACGAGTCTCGTTTCACATTGTTTCGAGCAGATGGACGTGTACGAGTATGGCGACAACCGCATGAATCCATGGAGTCAGCATGTCTACAGGGGACTGTTAAAGCTGGTGGAGACTCTGATGGTATGCGGCGTCTGCAGTTCGAAAGACATGGAACCCCTAGTACGTCTAGATACCCCTAATACATAGATACGTCATAAAATGCACCCATTCATGTGTACTGTACATCCCGACAGACGTAGGCAATTCCAGCAGGACAATGGGACAGCTCACACGTCCAGAATTGCTACAGAATTGTTTCAGTTTATATTAGGACTGAGTACGGATCGCGACGACATCACAATACAGTACATAATTTATTTCTCACTACATAATCACTTCACATTACAATTCAACACATCAGAATGCTCTGGAACTGTCCAAAGTGGCACTACACACTGGTATAGCAAACAGAAGAAAGTTCCGAAAAGTGACGCCAGGAGCACGGTAGTCAAACTGGATGAAATCTGTACCGAAAAATGAAGCATGCGTCATTTTTTCGTACAAATTACATTCCGTTTGGTTTCTTTTCTGTACCGTCGAAAAATGATGAAAAAATGATCGTGTAAAACAGGCTTAAAATGCACGGCATAGAGCTAATTACTATAGTTAACTCTTAACTTTTTCAAAAGTTACAAAAGTTAGAAATTTGTTTGTTTTGAACATTCTTCTAGATTTTTTCAAAAATTTTTCTTCCCCACAGTGTTATTCACTCTGACAGTGTGGCAGTGAGAAAATATAGTTATAAGTGACAACAATGTGAAATGTTATTTATTTTCTTATTTTCGACATATTGCAGATATTATTTTGACAAACGTGTTTTAATTTATTTAGTAAGAAGACAAAGCTGGTGTTTTGGCAATACAACTCGAAACCACTAAAATTCTTCCTAATATTTACAAGAAATATACACGAAATAAAGAAACATAAACGAAGCGAATTCGTCAATTACGCGAACGTCAGCTAGTTTATCAAATAAAAATTGCTCTTTGATTCAATAAGTTTTGTACCAGTACAACATACATACCTGTATGGAGACGTTTGTGTTTCTTTAGAAAGTATTTTGTGGTGAAGAGTTTGCTGCACACGTCACACTCCCATTGTTTCCCTTCGTGGGTTTTTTGATGTTGTGTCAACTGTTGTTCCTGAAAAATTAAAACTTGGAATAAAAATCATTTTACTGTAGAAATGGAATGATGTTTTTTTCTGTCATATTTTTATAAGAACACTTGCAATAATACTTTGGCTGTTTAATTTAATTAGTTTAATTTAATTTAATTCATTTAATTTTATCTTATCCTTCCACATTTCAAAGAAATTCTGATAAGAATTTCAGTGCAAAAATAAGTCGCAAAGGATAAAAAACGTGCTCTGTGATATTTATGATTTCTTGCATTTATTTTGTGAAACAATACCTTCTTGAATCCTTTCCCACAAGTGCTGCACGTGAAGGCCTTGGCGTCCGGTTCCTGCTGCTGTTGCGCAGATTCAACCCAGCTTCGAAGTATCTTTCCTGTCGGAAGGTTTCGCAAACATTAGTGGCAAGTAACATCAAAAGTCACATAACAAGCAGAGAATATATTGATAGGAAATGAACATAGAATGCACATTTCTTATTAATTTTCATACGAACCTCTTTAAACCACGAAAACTACGAGGAAGTCTGCTCCAGTGTCAATTTTTTAGGTCGTGGTGGCCAATCACTGAGGGTCGAATTTTTATCGTTTTTCCTCTAGAGTTATTATTCCTAAAGTACTAGTAGTTCTAAAAACATGCACTGTACATATACATGGAAAAATACACACACATACACCACACAATCCAACGCGAGCCCACTACTTCTCAAGACAAGTTAGTCATGGAGTTCCCACCTAGCGACATACCGGATCGGCAGGATACACTTTATTATTATTATTATTATTATTATTATTATTATTATTATTATTATTATTATTACTATTATTATTAATTATTTCCTTTTTTCTTGAGGTTTCTCACTCGGGGTTGCAAGTTTGAGGGACCTTGAGCAATACCACTTTCCTAGTTTTACATATTTAGAATCGTGCGATAATGTTTTATCCCGTAGATCACAAGCAGATTGGCCAAACCTGTAATTTACGCACCCAGATTTCTGATGATTTAAATCATATACATTAATAAAACCAGTTCATATTTTGATTTGAATAACTGCAAATAAGTTCAAAATTAACTTGTAACTCAATTAATACTTTTAAATTCAAAGTTACTCTAAAAGTCTACGTAATACTCATATTCAAATAGCTATAAATGATTTTGTATCCAATTGCAAGAAGTGTGAAATCTTGGAATGGTTTGGTAATGAACCACATACGAGGGTTTTCAACTTTTTTATTGTATTGGATGTGATTTGATCTTGAGCATCACAAATATTGATATTGAGATCCTTTCATTATTTGTATTACAGGGTTGAAAAATCAGTAGTGTGTTAAAGAGGAGTCTATTCTGTGGGGGTGAGAGCATAACGTCCAAAGTGAAATCCCAGAAAGCGTCTTAGTGTCCACGGGAAGCACTAACAGGATTTTCGACACTAGCCAGATAGCTAGGTCCAATTCAGTCCCTGTCTGGAGAGGAATTCTAGGCATCAGCTGCTCTGATCGGCTGTTTTCCGTGGTTTCTCCTATCTACACCAGACGGATGCCGGAGCAGTACTCTAACAAACGGGTCACGGACCGAGCGCGATATTTCCTACCTCTTCTTTGCCCGATCCTCACCCCTTACACACACATACACTATCATGCAGTACACACTAACTACCACATATGCCAGGACACTGGCTGGGAGTTTACAGGTTGTCCCGGCTGAGGCAGAGCCCGGCTGGTGGGAGACACCTCTTTGGGGAATCACCGATCAATTAACTAACGCACTGCCGATTGCAGAGTGAGATGATGATGAATGTCCGAGCAGGGCACATACCTGCGTTGATGCCGCTATGCGCCACTCGCAAATGCACCATGAGGCTGCCACGCATCTTGAACGCTTTGGCGCAAAGGTGGCACGGAAAAGCGAGTTTTGTGTTCTCACAGGCGCCCCCTTGCTGTACATCCACGCGAACTCGATTCTCTTCTTGCGGCCGGAGCACTTGCTGTTGTTGGCCGAGCCTGTCTTGTAGCGGAGAGTGTTGTGGCTCATCATGAAGCTTCTGTTGATGTTGCAAGTGCTGCTGCAGCTGATGTCGCTGTTGAAGTTGTTGTTGTTGTTGTTGTTGTTGTTGTTGTTGTTGCAGTTGTTGCTGCTGTAGTTCTTGTCGCTGTTGTGCTTGCAACTGATGATTTTGCTTTTCTTGTTGCTCTTGTAACTTTTGCAAAAGTATTTGTTGGCGTTCTTGTTGATCTATTTCTTGTTGGTTTAATACCCGTAACTGTGGTTGTTGTTGTTGTTGTTGTTGCTGTTGCTGTTGCTGTTGCTGTTGCTGTTGCTGTTGTTGTTGCTGTTGCTGTTGCTGTTGTTGTTGCTGTTGCTGTTGTTTCTGTTGCTGTTGTTGTTGATGTTGTTGCTGCTGCTGTTTTTGTTGTTCCAACTGTTGTTTTACATGTTGTTCGATTTGTTGTTGCAAATGTTGCTGCTGTTGTTGTATTTGTTTTAGTTGCTGCTGCTGTTGGTGAACCAAAAGTTTATTTTGTTGTATCTCGTGTCGTCTCTGATGATGGTGTGGAGTCTGTTTCTGTCGATTTTGCTGCACGTGAAGCTGTTTTGGTTGCGCGTTTTGCTGGTGCACGTCCTGAACGGGTCCTCTCGATTGCTGTTGCTGTAACGCACACTGCTGAATCGCCCGCTGGCGCAGTTGCTCGAGGTGCTGCTGCATCTGCTGCGCCAGCTGCTGCTGCAAGTGCTCGGCCTGCAGCTGGCTCCTGAGCTGCGCGCAGAGCTGCTGCATCTGCTCCTGCGTGATGGCGTCGGCGCTGCGCGGGCGGCGCAGGGCGAGCGCGAGCGGGTCGTCGTCGGCCTTCCGGGGCGACGGG